GTTGCCGAGATCGATGCTCATGATATCAATCACTGGATGGTCTGGTCCAGACTCGATTACAAGTAATTACAGACCGCCGTCATATAGATTGAATATTGCTGAGTGCGGCGTTAAACAACAGACAAACAAACCAAAAAAACTTTGATCAAATAGACCACTCATACATACTTCATATTGTACAATCCCTTCCTAGAAGTATTTACTGCTTGACAGGGGCCTCCTCCACGGTGAACGCTGTATAAACGTCAATAATGTTTAGGACCCTGTTTCAAACAGCTTAGAATGATTTAAGGCACATGTATGTATAAGTAGGGGAATTATGTAAGTATATGCGTACTAGAGTATGAAAGATCATTTTGTGGTATTTGACCCGAAGGGCGATAAGTATGTATAGAGAAACCATTTGTCGCTACTCGCCCCTTTCCGTAACCTGTAAGAAGACGCGTACCCCTATGAATATTATGTTCGAAAATACCACAAAGCAATCAGAATGTGCTCATGACTTCAAGTACTTCGGTCATAGAATCCCTCAGGAATAATTTGCGATTTCACAGATGTCTTGCATCTAAAAATATACCCTAGTTAAATGTGTTCAATCATACTGTATAAATACCGTAAGTCCCGATGTGTTTAAATAGCATCTGGAATATGTATGACATGGCGGAAATATACGTGAATCATTACGCAACGAGTTGACAATTCTTTCAACTACCCTTTTGTGCTTTGGCGGAACCCAGTCGCAAAAAAAATCGGCTTGTCCCGGAATAACACGAGTTGGTCACGAATGCAGAGAAACCTGCATGCTGGACGAAAAGTGTACCTTATACAAGGAACATTCGTTAATCGTTAATCCGGATATTTGTTACACTGAGTGATTTCGTTGAGAACGATACCACCAGAATTAACAAACTTAACTGATTTCTGTAAAATGTCTGAGGAGCCTTTATGCAAATAAGAACTACAAAATGTAAAAAAATGACAGCGTTGACATAGACATCTACTCGTATATTGTTTCTTTGCGACGCTCGGTAAAGATGCCGGTACCTTTATCAAAGAAAGGATGACGAAGCTATCAGCATCTGTACCGAAACCTTGCTCTGAAGGAGTATTGAAGTTGAAATCCATAACTTAACTGTCTGCACTAATACTACAGCTTCTAAAATGCCACTTTACTTAACTCAAACCAGGTAATGAGCCAAACAAATCAGATCCTTCTAAGCCCTCGTAACTCGATACATATACCACTTAAGAATTCAAGCGGTTTTTTGCCAATTCATCAAACGTGTTTTTCCTGATTTGAACAACTCTACCGAGGCAATGTTTGCCTACCTGTCTTCACTTGCCGTTGTTGGCCTACACCAACAAGCTCATAGTTTCACAAACAGAGATTATTTGTTTGCAAAAACATCATTTCAATGAAAGATAAGCTGGTTGAGACGTTCCAAGGTACACCTGGCCGGCGCTTGCCAAGTGGAATTCCTTGTGAGGTTTAAGAGGTGCTTTAAGTGTTTTACCTAAGTTTCATTAGTCTCATTTGTTGGACACACTTTCGTTAATGTCCTCCTTAGACATGCGATACAAAACCAGTTTAATTTGGAACATACTTTTAGTAGAAGGGGTGCCGAGAACCGAATACGGTTACCGTAGTTTATGATAAGAAAGAGTTTCAATAAATTTTGGGGGTATTAACGAATATGTTAGTCTCGGCAATTGGGATACGATGACATGTATCAAACAAATCAGCGAGCCCTACCACCCGATCCTTCTTACGACAAGCATGGGTTGCTGAAGACCTATTCTACCCCGGATTTTAAAGGGGTGTTACTGTGAATGTATAAATGTTAGCGTGTTAGTGTTAGTGTTAGTATGTTTGTGCTGGTGTTAGTGTTAGTGTGATAGTGTTAGTTTGGTGCAAAGTCGCTTTGAACACTATATGGATTCGAACACACGATCGTAGGTTTCTTTGAACCATAGCCCATGGCACGCAACGAATTGCGGCGCCTTCGATGACTGGGTCATCTGTGCCCTCCAAGGTTTCGAGGAAAGTATTTTGATATGATTTATGACTATTAATATCTGCAGTGTATGAACTAACACAACCATACCAGAGGGCTGTCAACTTTTTTTTTTAAATACCTGCCCTTTCATAGCCAGACCTGATGTGACTTGGTATTATAACCTAATGTACACTCCCCAGAGTGTTAATAGCCAACAGTTATACTCCAAATAATCACGCAATATGTCGATGTTATAAAACCATGATGTCTGATTATGGCAAGAGACCGACCATTCTGGGATTTTATCGAAAAATATAAATTGTCCCAGAAACGTCTTAAAAAACATAATTTCCGACTAATAAATACGAAATCTTCCACAAAACTTACGTTGTCCCAAGGTTTTCCAATATTCAGGCTGATAGTTTTAATTTTTAAAAATGTCTTGATTTGTTTGCACCTGTAAAAATACGTAACCACCATACCTCACTACAAACACACGTGGAATGTTATGTCGTGCAATTCCATTCCATCTCGCCAATTTCTATAATTTATGAAAAACCCGAAATATATTTAGTTAGTGTTGAAATAGTATCTTCTGATGCAATGAGGAGGATACAGACGACGATTAAGATGAAAATATTCCGCATACATTGAGAGCTTCAGATTTAAGAGGCGTACAGCAAAGACATCTCTTTATTCCATGGGTTTCTTGTACTTTTATAGACCTTCACTTACTAAGTAAAGTGACGATTTAGATGAGTAAAGTATGACGTAAAATCGTCTTTACGATCAAACGATTCGTTTTGTTAACAATGTTGTTTTTTATTTAATAGCCAACGAACGACGTTAACATCAGGCGAGGAACATTTACTAATCATGTCTAACTTAAATGTTTCGGCAGAAGGATAACTCAGCAGTTAGTGTACGAAATTAATCGCTGTCAAATTCCGGAACTGACAGGGCAGGGCAAACCTTCAAACTATCGTCCTTAATGTTGAAAGAAAAATGAATTCCTACCCACTGACACTTTAAAACTGTTTCTTGAAATTACGTTTTCAACCAAACAATGTGTTTTGCTAGTGTGCACACTTAAAAAGACGATACAATTTCACTGAGTCATTCGTAAAACCTCTTCAGCTACACGAATACGTGCGTATAGGGTTTCTTAAAAAACAATTTCAGAATATTTCAGCTGGTAATAGAGTTCTGGCTAAGATTCCTCGGCGCAGTAAGATCCATTTTTTTGTTGAATAAAAGCTGGAATAATAATTCGTGGATTATATGGATTTAGTTACAAGTGGTGAAATTATGTTGCAACATCGTATCTGGACTCTAATCCGATCATTAATCTGTTCATACAACGCATTCAAGCAACAAGGAGCCTACTTTGATATTCATGGCTTTGACCTTTCATTTGATATGTGTGCTCGACGCCAACGAATTTATACTTTGATGAATATTGAAGTTCTTTGTATGTGTGGGAATCTAACTTAATCGGTTTGTAAATCTTAACGACACGTGTTTAATTTAATAAGATATAAATGTTTATCTGAATCATAGATCTCATATTTGTCGAGGATAGAATAATGATGAAAAAATAATGAAGACATTAAAACTGGAATTATGAAAACTGTCATGGTTGATATTCAAACATCTTCTGTGTAATTATTCAAGGGTGGGGCCCACCATTTAAAAGGGGAATCGCTTAAATCTGTATTTCCGACAAACGTTTTTTGGAGATTAACGATCAGTGTTGGAATAGATAACGTAACTTTTAAATAAAAGTATTGTGATAGATTTTCTGAAAAGAAACTACGAATTTTCGAAGGCACCGCTTTTTACTGTACAGCGTCCCTTGTCTCTGGTGACCTCCTCCGTGCTCAGTGGTAGAGTATCCGCCCGGAGAGCGGAAGGTCCGGGGTTCGATCCCCGGCCGCGTCATACCAAAAGATGTTAAAAGATGGTACTTGTTGTTACCCTGTCTGGCGATCGGCATTAAGGGGCAAAAACAAGGACTGGTCGGCTCGGAGTCAGTATACTGTGTCTGAGTGGAGTATTCATGTTAAACTGCGGCATGGTATCTCAGTGAGCTAGCACTATAAATCGGCATCAGTCCGGACTAGTACAAGCAGCCACACAAGCACACACACGTACATGCACGTCGCTATATAAGTGCAATAATCTCGGACGCGACGTTAAACCCCATTTCACCTCACCTCACCTTGGCTCTGGTACAATGTAACATGTACCCAGAACATGTAAAAAAACAAAAAAATCATGGATTATAATAATATTTTGACTATTCTAAGGATCTAAACGATGTTTCTAGATTATTGTGAAAGCATTGGTTTAAAAGATTTTCACCCTGAAGATGAATTGGTTTATGAGTTGCGTTTAACGCCGTTTCGGTCAGTATTGTGGCTACACATGGGCGTGTTAGCTTTGTTGAGTGATGAAAGTCAAGCGGATCCTGCAGTCTTAGTGACGTTCCTTGGACACAAGGCCGGTCATGCCTCCGTATAATCCTATTATTACATACAAGTGTCGGGAACCGAAATATCTGACGCAGTATATGCCTGTATAAAAATATACGCGTTCAACGGAGGATGCTGAGAATACATATTAAATCATTGACGGACAAAATATGGCATAATAGTTATTATGAGTGTTAAGTCGTTTCAAAAGGAATGTTTATAACACAGCTTGCATCGTGAAAAGTTGTTACGCTCGCCGAAACGGTCTGAATCCCAATGGCCTAAAAGAAGAAAACTTGAACCATGACGAGATTCTATTGAGTTATTTCCTTTCGGTGCATTCCCCTTCGACAGTGACATTCTATATGCCATTAGCTCTGGAGGGGCTACATTTCCACGCAAATTGGCTCCATGCTCACTGCAAGGTAGAATCCTGTATACTCGCAGCCTAGAAGCGCATGTGGAAGAACTAACTAAACACGCCCACCGCAGCCAAATCTCGTGTTCTCGTTAATGAAGGGCGAGATGATCATAGCAGACGATAATTGTGATCGTCAGCCTCTGGCGGGATATTGAATCAAGAACCGTAACTCTTGTTGGTTTATCATGTCAAACCAGTTAGTCTAGCATATCGAGTGGGTCTATTCATATCGATGGTGCACTTATAAACAGACAGAGGTACAACTAGTGTGTCTGCCAACTACGACGCTACTGGGATCACTAGCTTCAGTGTGATAATGGCGATTGAATCGCCGGACTCGAAATTTAAAGCAGACGACAGACAGCCTCGTTTTCAGGAATTACTTTTTTTCACGCTACCTGTATTGTGAACTCGGAAGAGGAATCACTCTAAGTTTGGAAAGTTATTGTGATACTGTGTGATTGTGAATATTCGGGAAAAATGAAAAGGAATACGCTCACTCGTCTGTTTTGTGTGACTCTGGGATCAATCTGGATTACTTATGCCGCAGCTAAAAAAGGTAGGTTCCATTGATGAATTATGGACACAATTACAATACAGCCAGTGTCTATTATTTGCTAAGGACATATTTTATCCTGAACTAGGACATGAACTAGCTCACAACGCTCCGTTCTTTGTTGTTCTCCTTATGCATGCGCTGCACAGGATGAAAACACTTGCGCCACTGTTTAATGAATTTGTCCCACTCAACACTCGGTACGTTGTACATTGAGTGACTATGTCTTCTGAGAAAAAAAGTCTTACAAAAACGCTGACGTAAACGGATTCAGATGTGTTTGCTATTCAACCGACACAACGACGAAAGAAACACACAAGAACCAAATGTCTTCATTAGTGAGATATTTGCGTCCGTTACTGTCTCCCATAAACACATAATGTTTTCCAAAACATGCCGGATTTAATTAAAAAAAGCTTGATAATCTTAATCGAATGTGACATAGACTTGTTGAAACTGCTGTGCTCTGAATGACGTGAATGTGTTTTCAAACACATGTCGGATTTCATTCAATTACCTCCAAAACAAGTTTGATAATTTTTATTGAAGGAAACATCGACTGGTTGCTATTCTAACAATTATCATTTGTTTAACATCTTAACAATATAGGGTATCTTTAAGTATTACCGTTAACTCAAAACCTAATTATTTCATTATTTATATCAAAAGTGAATATATTAAAGTTTACGAAGAATAGGTGCACGTGGAAGTCCGGTTGCCTCGAAGTTTTCCCTTAGCCCCAGTAACGTCGATGTAAAGACCAACATTGAACTATATGTTATCACGATGTAAGAATGAATAACATAAACAGAGTCAAACTTGATATCTTATTTGTATTTTCCTTCTTCTACGCAATGTACACATACTGACATTTCCAAGTGTGTCCAAATTGCGTGCGCGCTGATGTAATTGTGCATGCAACGCTACTTCAAAGCTTCAAGTTACTTCAATATAAAGGAAATCCTCTCATGTTTGGTCAGTATACATAAGCATGGTCACGTATAGCTAATTGCTCTGGCTGGTTTCGTAAATGCATTGTTATCTGAAAGAAAAGATGGATTATTTCTGTGAAAGTCGGATCTTACATGCTTCCCTTGATAATATGTATATTGGACTCAACCCTTTAATTTCATTGTATCTATTACTTCATATGTGGATGGAAAACAAGACCACATATCACCACATAACAAGACTATATACCACACGTGAAAATAATGTCATTTAAACCAATGATATTGCATACTATTGCATGTGTTCTGCTTTATGTGACCGGGAACTTTGTATAATCGTAAGCGTTAATCTCCTTCACCACAATTAACTAAAATTTATTAGGACAACATGAATTACCTCGATGAAAATCGATACCTGACATAAGTTGTTGTAAATGTAGAATTTAAAAAGGAACTTCCATACCACCGGAGTCGAACCAGGATCCATTGACCTGGGGTTCGAATCCCCGAGTCACACAATTATAATATTGGTTTACCAGTACCATGTCGGAGCTCCTGTGTTTTGTCAAATTAGGAAATGTCAACGTCCCATGTCACTCACTGTTTTCTTTCCTTACAATTCTGACATGTCGTGATAGCTAAAATACCGTTACCGGTAAAAGGGGATTTAACGTCGCGTTCAAGATTGTTGGACTTATATAACGACGTGCATGCACATGTATCTCAGTGAGGTAGCACTAAAACCGACATTATTTCGGACTAGTACATGCAACTACTGGCATGTACGTCTCTATAAAAGTGTAATAATCTTGAAAACGACGTTAAACCCTATTTCATCCCACACATATATTAGTAATACGTATATTCCTGATGGGTGAACAATACTGACGGTCATTGGTTTCAGACCACGTTAGCAGGGGTAGTCTGGAAGAAAAGGCACCACCTCTTGTAGATAATGTATGGAGTGAAGTCTTCGGAATTAATCTCCATTTTACCCCGAATGCTCAGAACCACCAAAAACGTAATTTTTGTCCTGAACGATGTTCCCGAAAATGCTAGGAAAACTTTCTCAGGTTTTAACCCCAAATATTAAGTTTTCATTAGGCATGCTGGATGGCATGAAATTCATTTGTGGATCCAAAAGAAATTGTTTTCATGGAAAGAAAATAAGAATATGTATCTTTTTAATCTGTCGCAAACAAAACTCCCAGCCGAATATACACGGTTGGTCCTTTCATACGTCCCATACACGAGAAGTATACTTCTTGATCCTTCCAGCCAATTATTTACCTAAACTAGCATGTCCTCCCATACCTCACGGTATGCATTCGAAACAACCTATCCGCCGTCCTGGTGCACTTCGTGTGCATTCATCAGTTGAGGAGCGCCTTCAAGGCTCTGAACATGAACCCCAGCGTCTGGAGCACGTCATGAGGAGCACCGCAGACTCTCTGGTTCAACACAAAGGAGAGTGTTATGCCATGCTGCATATGCAAGTGTCACCACGGTCTACTTTATGAAGATGAGGATGAGGAACAAACGATACCTCTGTGTGCCACATATAGCAACTATCTGACATGAATGTCCCTGATTTGCCGGTAATAATGAGAAGGGACCCCCTTTACACCTACATTTGTGGTACTAATGCACTTATTCCTATGTGTAACCGTTTACGTTCATTCAAATATGTTGGATTTGGGATGCTGAATAGAATGAGTCATACTTAAACGCTTTGGGTTTCTTGGTATTGCCATCAATGGATGTCAAGGGGAATTAAGTTTAGGTACAGTGTGATATGGTGTGATGATTTTCCTTACATGTGCCATTACTGGTTATAGAGTCGCCATTAGCAGCATAACTAATGTCATGGCGTACAATGGCATCTCCATAAAGACCTATTATAAGTTAATATAAGTGTCTAAAGCACTTCCATAATCATAAGATATCTCTGCTAAAAGCAGCGTCCATTATTTGGTTCCGACAAAATCATAAGCGTGTGATTTGAGATTTTGGATAGGATGTGTCACACTTTAACGCTTTGGATTTCCTGATATTGTCATCAATGGATGTCAGATATTTCAAGGGAAAATTAGGTTTAAATGTACTATGATATGATTTGATGATGTTACTAATGGGTGTGTCAATACTGCTTATAGTGTTGCAGTTAGCAGTATAGTTCTTGGCATTGCCTACGATGACATCAGAAAGACTACTGACATAGTAGTAAGACATACTGTAAATGTACGCGACAAAACCCTTTCCATAATCGCAAGATATCTATGCCAAAAGTCCACTGTACAAATCCGTGTTTATAAATCACAATCCTATAGTGACGATACCAGGCGTTCTCTAAACATTGAGCGTTTCCTGCACCGGCACATCCGTCACAAACACATGCACAGTTTTTCGCCTAGAACACGGAAACATATGGTAAAGTCAAATTAGGGAATTACATTGGAAATCAGTTTGGTCACTGATGCGTCAAATTTGAAATGTCTTCACATACGTACCACGTGACCTTTTGAAATCTTTACTAAGGCTGTAGTAACCATAGTGATTGGGTTAATGTTGTTTTATGCCGCATTCCAGCTAATATCACATCGTCATGTAAATTAATCGAATCTGGACCAGACAAACCATCTGAAGTGACCCAATCAATTTAATCAACTCGACAAACATAGGTTACTAGAATTCATTAAATAAAGGACGTAGCGATTCAGATTTTGCTAGTAGTAGTATGCAATTCGGTTTGCTATATCAGCCTTTATATAGCCTAGTGGTTAAAGCGTTCGATCGTCACAACGAAGACCCGGGTTCGATTCCTGAAAAGGGTACAATGTGTGAAACCAATTTCTGGAATCCCCCGCCGTGATATTGCTGAAATATTGCTGAAATATTGCTGAACGCGGCGTAAAGCCATACTCACTAACTCATCATTTGTTCACGCGATTATATTTATGGTAAGCTTGTATTGTTTTGCTCCCTTTTTAGAAGTATTTCAACAATTTTACGGTGAGGAAAACCATAAATAGGCTTCACAAGTTGTACCCATACGCAGAATCGAACCCGGGCCTGCGCCACCACGATAGAATCCCTGATCCACTAGGCTACCCCAGTATCGTCATAGGGGCGGTGGGGTAGCTTACTGGCTTCAGCGTTCGCTCGTCACGCCGAAGACCCGGGTTCGATTCCCCATATTGGTACAATGTGTGAAGCGCATTTCTGGTGTCCCCGCCGTGATAAAAAGCAGACTGAGACTTAAGACGCTCACAGAGAAGGAATAAAAGTGAAAAGTACGCTTGTAAATTCCGGTCCATCTCAGTGTAGGTGGTGTCTGTCTTTTGGCATTGTCTTCCTCATTCTCCGCTGACTACAACCCCAAAACGTCTTCAAGAGCCACAATTCCTACGCTCCTCCGAGATCCATGATTATATGCACCGGACCGATTTATGTCCCTTTTGCACCTCACATTTCACGACATTATCTATCCGTATCATTTGCTTCATTCATGGTGCATGCATGTGAGATAGTTGTGACATACATCACAAGGAATCCAGGTCAAAGGAGGTGCAGAACAGGGGGATGCTTGGATGCTGCGATGTTGGGAGGGAACGGTGGAGGGTAAATTGAGTAGAAGGCTGTGATACTGACGATATGGGAATAGGGTGGGCGGAAAGGAATGAATGGAGATAACAAGAGATATACAGAGAAAGATCTTTTTAAATGTAAAAAAATGGTAACAGTGATTTATTTACGGATTAAAAATATATACGAACTCATGAGGGCATTGAAGAGAGGGGCAGAGAAAGAGCGTGTGAGGTGCAGAGGAAGACAGTAAAAAATCTATTGAATTAGAATAAAGAGAGATGGGGAGAGAGGCTTCTACATTGGGAGAGAGATATAAAAAATATATAATGAGGTGTGGCTGCGAGGGATAAGTAGGTGTGTTAATAACGCAGTACTGTGCTGCGCTCTGATTCAGCTGTCGGTGGCCGTGCCCCCACGGTGATGTGGATGTTGTAGTCACAGGGCGGGAATGATGGGATGAGTCGG